AAGTATTAAACCTCATAGCTTCTTCTAAAGAGGTTTTTTGTTTGTTTGTTTGGTTGGTTGGTTTTTTTTTTTTTTTTTTTCCTGTATCTGGAATCCAACTCAAGGCTTTGTGCTTGCCAGGCAGGCGCTGTGCCACTGAGCTAAATCCCTATTGCCTGAGGAACAAGAAGGTTGCTTAGGATAAGCGAGGAGGGTCAAACCTGATTGGTGGAGGAAGTTTAAAGAGGAAGTAGTTGGTTAAGTGGGCAGAGAGGCAAAGTCTGATTGGCTAGGAAGTTGGAGAGGTAAAGTCTGATTGGCTAGGAAGTTAGAGAGGTAAAGCCTGATTGGCTTGGGCATTTAATTGGCTGAGAATTAGGAGAGTAGTTTAATTGGATAAGGAGCAGGAAGATGGAGTCTATTTGGCTGAGAAACAGAAGGAGTGTATGTGATTGGCTGAAGGGAAGGGAGGTAGTGTTTGATTGGCTGAGGCATGGGGAAACAGAATTTAATTGACTGAGGGCTGTAGGTCAGAATGCAGCCAGCAAGGAGAGGAGGGCTCAAGGATATGTCAGTGGTCTTAACAGTGTCATTGACCTTTGCAGATCCTGTGTCCCTGGGCCTAGTAGAGGGAGGTGGAGGTTGATCCTTGCACACTATGGGGAAATGGATGTAGGTGCATGTGGTGGAGTGGTGTGGCTGGGTCACTCCAGGCAAAGGCCAGGGAGCATACTGCCTGGGTCATAGCTGGTGAGAGGTGCCCTGTTTCCCATCCTCCCTCGTGCCTCCTCCAGGTGACCTGGCCACAGCCGCAGTGTCACCCTCCCTTCCCCTGCTCCCTCTGACTCTGATCCTCCCGGCTCCCCGCCGTCCCTAGCAATGCCCCTTCACCCCACTTGCCCATTTCCAGGGGGACACGCATCCCTCCCCTGTCTCAACCCATCTCCCTGTGGCCACCTGAGAGTTTTTTTTCCTTCATTACTAGAGATTGAACCTGGGGCCTTTACACTGAGCTCCACCCCCAGCCCTTTTTATTATTAAAAAAATTTTTTTTGGCTGTTTTGTTTTTTTGAGACAGAGTCTAGTTTTGTAGTTTAGGCTATCCTTGAATGGGAGGCAATCCTCCTGCCTCACAGATCACAGGCATGCGCTACCCCACCTGACTATTTTTTATTTTGAGGCAAGGTCTCGCTAAATCACTAAATTGCTCAGGATGGGCTCAAAGTTGTGATCCTCCTGTCTCTGCCTCCCAGAGTACTGGGATTACAGGCCTGCACTACCACACCCAGCTGGGTCTCTATGTATAAGTTTTTTGTGGTACTGGATCGGAACCCAGGCCTTTATGCACACTAGGCAAGGCCAGGACCTCATCCCACAGTTGTCTTCCCTCTCCCGCTTCCTCTGCCCTTTTTCCCTGTGTCCCCATGGAAAACGCCAGCCTAAATATGTCCAGGCCCCAAACCTGGGTCGCTGTGAGTGACTCTTCTTGTTCTCCGAATCCTACATCCCACCTATCAGCGAGTTCAGTCAGTTCCACTTTGATAACAAATCCTAAAATTTACCTTTTGTCCCAAATCTCATTTTCTTTGGTGCTGGATGCTGGGAGTGCTCTTTTTCCTCCTCAGATCTGTCCATATTTCAACTGGAGAGAGCCTGTTAACACCTAAGCCATGAGCTGGGTTTGGTGCCTGTCTGTAATCCCAGCACTCAGGAGGCTGATGTAGGAGGATCGAAGTGAGTTCGAGGCCAGCCTGGGACTACACAGTGAGACCTCGTTTCAAAAAACCCAAAAAGCAAAGCACAACATAACACAACACAACAAAACCAAAAATCCACGAGCCAGGCCTAGTACTTCCTTTACTTAGAACTCTCGGTGGCTCCCACCTTTCTTGGGGTAATAACCTAAGTCTTCTCAGTAGCCCACCAGGTCCCACACCAGCCATCTAGTCACATTGTCATCCTCCTCTCCTCTCGCTCTTCCCCTTGCTCCCCCCACTGCAACTCCATTGGTCTCTTTTCTGTCCCTTAAGGCACAGTCCAGCCTCAGGCCCTTTGCACAGACTATCCCCTTTGTCTTTCCCCTTCCCTTACAGTCTGCTCACATGTCCCCTCCGCACACTGGGCTTCCCTATCTCCTTACCTGGGTGGACGTTCGTCTGTAGCATGTTGCATGTAGAAAGGCACTGTTTTCAATTATGTGTTTCTCTTAGTTAACACCTGCCTTCGTTTCTTCATAACCGTCATCGTTGCCTCTTTCTACTAGAGCCCGAGGACAGAGGATTTGTGAAGAAGCTAAAAGACACTGCTGAAATCCCGGCCCAAGGACGTGACACCCTGACCTGCTCTCATTTCTGACATTCTATGGGAACAGGGTGTTTGTTGAATGAATGTATATTCCTCCTGAGAGTACTAACTGCTTCGGCTTCCTCTTGTCCCGCTCTGACCTCAGCCCCTGGGACCTGCGCCACGCTGGTCCTGCCAGTGCCAACCCTGTCTAGCGCCTAAGCTCCTTGACCTCAGCGTACAAGCGCTGGAACCTATGACCACCTTCCCTAATCTCCACCTCCAGCCTGTGCATCTGCCTGTCCTCTTTCTAAATGCGGCTGCCACCAACCCCTCTTTCTCTCCATCCTCTTCTTGGCCACCTCCCTCCCCGAGTGACCTCATTCACCATTCACCTACGCCCACGGCAGCTACCATCTTCACAACGTGGGTGACTAAGACGTGCTTCCCATGATAGGCCAGCTGCCTACTGGGCATCAGCCTAACCTCCCACGGACCTTTTAGACTGAAGGTGACAGGTCCAGGGGTGTCCATTCTCAGCACTGCTGACACTTGGGGCTGGATCATTCTCTGTCCTTATAAGAGGTAGGAGCCCTTCACCAACATGATAACCAAGGTATTTCCGGGCATTGCTAAAATCTGTAGTAGCTGAGAACTGCTATGCTAGCCCAAATCACATCAAAAACTCAAAGGGCTGATGTTTACACAGCACATGCTCTGTGCAACCTCCTCTCATGCTGCTTTCTTTTTTGTTTTGTTTTGTTTTTGTTTTGTTTTTTTTTTTTTTTTTTGATCTTTCTGAGACAGGGTCTCACTATGGAGTTTGGATTGGGCTTGAGCTCACCTTGTAGCCCAGGCTGGTCTCGAATTCACTATGACCTTCCTGCCTCAGCCTCCCAAGTGCTGGGATTACAGGCATGTGCCACCATGCCCGGCTCATGATGCTTTCTTATCAACTACGTTCTCCATGCTATCTCTGGAGGGGTGGAGGCTTACAGCACTCGTGTGATTTGCCTAAAGACACAGACCAGGAAGTTTCCTGTACATGTTCCCACTTCCCCACGCTCCTGACCTGTTCCTTCTTCCCAGATTCCACCTCTGAGAGCAGAGCAGCCAAGTGGAGATTCTCTCTTCCTTGCTTTCTTTGCTCCCTGGAACCCACATCCTGCCAGTGACCAACAGAGCGGACCTCCTGGGCCTCCCGGGTCTCAGCTACCCTACCCTTCTCTCCTGCCCTCTCAAACCATCTGCCTTTGTGAATTTCTGTATTTTCCAGAGTCCCAAGTGCACTCTTCTTTGCCAGCATCATGGGAAAAACCAAATCCCTGCCTTCTAAAAAAAAGCTTCCCTGTGCTTTAAAACTAACCAACAACAACAGGGGCTCTTCCTCTGCTCAAGCACCATGTGCAGCTCCCCACTGCCCACCAGATGAAGCTCTGGCCACTTAGGTTGGCCCTCAAAGCCTTTCACAGCCAGACCTTTCCAGTCTCCTCCCCTCTCACGCCCCAAGGCCAGTGAAAGCTGCCTGCCAAGCCACACCTTCCAGTTTCTCCTTGCCTGAGCCCCACCCCCTTTCCTGGACCTGTTGAAATCCAACCTGTCCTCACAGCCCCAGCTCAAATGTCACATCCTTCACGTAGCTGCGCCCCGGCCTCCCTTGTGCCTGCTCCAGGCAGCAGCAAAGCTTCAGTTACTTCTATGTCCTTCTCTTTTCAAAACACGTCCCCTTCTCCCCTCCAAGACCAAGTGCCAAGTGAGGGAGCATCACCGCAATGGACAGAGAGAAATCTAAGCCAGGCAAGTGGAGCTTCTTATACTTGGCTTCCCACTTGCTCAGGCCAGCCAGCCAGCCACCCACCAACACAGCACTGGTGTCTGCAACATCTGAGGGCAGGACTGAGCGTCTGGCACACCTGGGGAAGATGGGCCAGCCAGGGACCAGGCCAGATCCCAGGCAGAAGGGCCGAGGTGTCTGGCCGTGGCCGGGGTGGGTCGGGGCAGGGAAGCAGAGCTGGCCCAACACTGCTGGTCCAAGCTAGAGGTGTTTATGGAGGGACAGTTGCTGCTGGCTGCAGAACCCAGGGAGGGGACAAGTTGGGCCCTGATTCTTCGGAGCAGGAGGTCTGTTTCCCAAGGCCCAGGTGTGGTGGATCCCAGCACTCAGGAGGCTGAGGCAGGAGGATCGCAGTGAGTTCAACGCCAGCTTGGGCTATCTAGCGAGTTTAAGGCCAGCCTGAACTACACAGCAAGACCATATCTCAAACAAACAAACAAATAATCCAACAAACATAGAGTTACAAGAGTCTGAGAATTCCTGGGGGCCCTAGAGGAGGCTTCTGGGGTCGAGTAGGGGTCTCATATGAGATGAGGCTCAGGAACTCCTGTCCAACCTGGGGAGGCACACCTGGGCTGGGGGCCCTGAGGGAGGCTGGCGAGGGAGGAGGATGACCCACAGACGGCCTGGGCCCTAATGGAAGCTAAGCAGGGGTATGAAGGCGGGGAGTCTGATGCTGTCTTTCTGTCGGATGGCCTCTCCTGTCTCTGCCTCTACCTCTCCACGACTCCGCTCCTCTCCCTTTCTGTGTCTCTCCAGGTCCCCACGTCTGCATCTCTAGCTCCGGGCGTCCCGACTGCTGGCCGGCGTGGCCTGGGGGCGTGGCCTGGCGTGGTCTAGGCGTGTCCAGGGCGGGGCTCCGGGTTCGGCGGGGCTCCGGGTTCGGCCGGGCGGGGTTAAAGGGCCGGCCCCGGCCGCACCGTCAAAGCCGAGGTTGCAGCGCCGGCAGATCAAGATCCCGGCTGGAAGACGAGACCCGCGGGGTGAGTGCTTGCGGGGATCCGGCGCGGTAACACGAGCTGGGGCTGGCGGAGCAGGTGTGCCGCTGAGAGGACCCTGAGTCCTAGCCCCCGGTGCCCTTCCAGGACCCTCGGGGTGGTGTGGGTCTACTTCTCAGCTACTGCTGCATTTGTGCACGTCTCTTTCCCCCTCCTCCTTCTGCGTGCATCTTGGAGTCCTGAGTGTGTCTTCTGCCTGCGCCTCGGTGGTGGAGAGCGGCTCGCGAAGACCCCATCTCCCAGCCAGGGCATCCCAGATGGCTCTGAGCTCTGAGCGGAGATGCCTCTTTGGGGCTCACAGCTTTTCACCCCGGCACGTTGCTTCTGCCTGTGTTCTGTAGGCGCAGGGCCCGCCAGTACCCTTCAGCAAAAAGCAAGTCCCAGGACTGGTTGTGAGGGCTGCGGGGGGCCCTGGGGTGAATCGCGGGGGACATTTGTCCACCAGACGCTACCTGGAGTCCCAAAGCCTGGTCCTCTTCCCTCGGGCCAGCCTGGGTTTGCAGTGTGGCTGTAGCTTGTCACTTTGCGGGACTCTCAGGCTGGAGGCTCGAGGCAGAGGTTAAAAAATGAGACTGCTCTGGTTCCTGTGTGGGGTTAGGCTGGAGGTGCCCCGGTCTGCCTGCCTGCTCACCCCCCAGACAGCACCGCCCTCCATCCGGTAGGTGAGGTCCTCTTTCCCTCCACTCTCCCATTTCTGGTTCCTGGAGCTGAGCTGGGCAGAGCCAGAGATGTCAAACTCCTCCCTGAGTACTCACCTCTAACCCACCCCAGGAGAGGAGGAACCTCCCCAGCTCTCCCCCAGCCACCCCATTTTATAGGAGAGGGTCCTGGGGCCAGAGAAGGGAAGCACATGTTCTGGGACACCCAGTGGGGGAGCTGGGATTTGAACAAACAAGCTCTGTCTGACCCCCAAACCCGGGGCCACTTTCCGATGGCCTGGCGTCTCTGTACAGCCCGGCTTGGGTTTCCGAGCGGTAACAGTAGCTCTGCGCTGGTATCTTGGTGGCGACCTGGGTTGATATCTGCTGAAGGGCTTGGATGACCCGGGAGACATTCAGAGAGTGGAGTCTCATCTCTCCTCCCTGACAAACCTTGGGGTCTGTTCTCCCCACGCCCAAATGGCCAGGAGACAACAATGAAAAGCACAGCAGTGGCGGCAGCAGCAGGAGTTCTCTTTGAGCAAGGCTTTGCTGTGTGCCTGGCGGGGAGCTGAGCGCTGTAACAGGGGTACCTGTCACTAGGAGGTGAGGAAATGTGGTTCCTGCCTTACAGATGATGAAATGGAGGCTCAGAGAGGTACAGATGCCTGCCTGAGGTCACACAACTAAGTACAATCTCCTCCAAGGCTCAAGCCCAGGCATGGCCACCCTCGCTATGGTACACTGGGATGATTACATTCCATGAATGATCTAGATTATAGTGCTTTAAACACCTTTTCTGCCAGGATCTGCTTTGCATCAAGAAAGCTACAGGCAGCCTGGTGTGGTGGCACATGCCTGTCATTTTTGTACTTGGGAGGCTGAGGCAGGAGAACTGCCACAATTCTGAGGCCAGCCTAGCTATATAGTGAGACTTTGCCCAAAAAGAGAGAAAGCAAGCAAGCCAGCCAGCCACAGGTTTCAAAGCTTCAGTGCGACCATCATTTGCCTGATTATCAACTTGGCTCCACCCTCCCTGAAACATTTTCTCAGGAGCCCAGGAATACGGGGGTGCTCAGCGTAGAGAACCATACCTAAGGCCCCTCTCCCTTCAGACTTCCTGGGGTGGGGCCCTGTGTGGGGATATGAGTTGCTGGGGTGAGGCAGCCCTTTGGGGTGAAGGGAGCAAGAGGGGAGGAGGGGAGGGGGACACAGGGTGGGAGGCAGGTTGTCCTGACCAGAGGCTGAGGGAGACAGTGGAGAGGGAGGCTGGGGTGTGGGCCGATGGAGCCAGCCTTGGGGTGCTCCTGTGCCAGGCCAGCGCCTGCCACTCGGAAGAGGCGTGGATGTAGTATCAGCCACCAGCCAGGGTCCACATTCTGCGTTTCCTCTGGGAGCCCACACATCTTGTAAAACAAGTCCTGATCTGGTGTGATCCAGTGTCGGGGGAGGCTGGAGGCGGCTGGGCAGACCTGACAAACCAGAGCTCCCTGGGCGTGGGCAGTGCACCTCCACTGCCAGATAAGATGTCCCCAGCAGGGTGGGCAGGGCCACCTCTTTCAGGGCGGGGCTGCTGGGTGGCATGCTTGGCATCAGGGACTGCATGAGGGCTGGCAGTGGGAGGGAACGTGCGCAGCACCCACCCACAGCATTCTGAAGGTGCCAGCTTTGAATTTCTTGGGCTAACATGTGTGCTATGCGATGTCAGGGTTCCAGGCCTCCTTTCACAGGCCCCTCCCCAACAACCTTAGGAAGCAGGTCCTGTATTATTGTTATTAACAATTGTTGCAGTTCTGGGGATGGAACTCAAGGCCTCATGTATGCTAGGCAAAGGTGCTACCACTGAGCTGTATTCCCAGCCTGCCGCTATCAACCCATTTTGCAGACTGACAACCAAAAGTGAGAGCTGGGGGGACTGGACTTGCCCCAGGCTGCTCACCCAGGGAGGGGCCAAACTCACTGTTCATTGGAGAAGCATTTTTTTTCCCACGATGGGGAGCTACACCCTGGTCCATTTTTAAATTGTTAGCTGGGTATGGTGGTGCACGCCTGTAATCCCAGCACTTGGGAGGCTGAGGCAGGAGGATTGTTGTGAGTTCAAGGCCAGCCTGGGCTACAAAGTGAGCTCCAGGCCAGCCTGAATTGCATAGCGAGACCCTGTCTCACAAAGACAAAAAAAAATTTGTTTTTACATTTTGAGACAAGGTCTTGCTAAGTGGCCCAGGTGGGAGTTGAACTTTCAGTCAATCTCCCTCAGACTCCGAGTGGTAGGGTTACTTGAATGTACCCCATGCTCAGCTGGACTTGCATTATTGTAATTATTAGTATCATTATTTTGAAGGTTTTTTTTGTTTTGTTTTTTGAGACAGGGTCTTGCTATGCAGCCCAGGTTGGCCTTGAACTCTTGCAATTCTCCTGCCTCAGCCTCTGGAGTGCTGGGATTACAGACATATGCCACCATGTGTAGTGGGAGTTTGCTTTTTTTTTTTGAGACAGGGTCTCCTCAGGTAGTTCAGACCAGCCTTGAACTCACTATGTAACCCAAGCCACCTCAAACTCCTGGCAATCTTCCTGCCTCAGCCTCCCAAGTGCTGGGATTACAGGTGTGTGTCACCACGTCAAGCATGAGGTTTCATTTTTAAAGGGTGATCATGGCCTGGGATGTAGCTCAGTTTAGAGCACTTTTCACCATGAACAAGATCCTGGGTTTGGTCCCCAGCACCAGTGAGGAAAAAAAATCAGTTTAAAGGGTGATCCCTTTATTTTGGGCAATCCCTGACCCTGCATTATTTTATTTGTTTGTTTTGTTTTTTTGGTACTGGGAATCGAACCCAGGACCTTGAGCTTGCTAGGCAGGCGCTTGTGCCTCTGAGCTATATCCCTGGCCTATCTGGGGCAACCCCAAAGTGACTTTTAATTCTACTTGTAATTTTTCAAGTTGAAGTATAATCTGTATCTGTGAAAGTGTGCGTTCCAGAACATGCCCATTGAAAAATTTTCACAAATTGAAACCACACATGTCAGGGGCATTCAGAGAAAGAAAGGGAACAACTTCTGGCACCTGAGAATGTCTCCACCCTCTCAAAGCATTTTTATTATCATTATTATTTCTACTACTGTTATTATTGTACTGGGTGTTGAACCCAGGCAGGGCCTTGTGCACACCAGACAAGCACTCTACCACTGAGCTATAATACCTCCACTTCTCCTAGTTCATTTTTAATTAATTTTAGCTATTTAAAAATAGACTACATTTTCATACTTTTTTTTTTGGTACCGGGAATTGAACTCAGGACCTTGTGCTTTTTTGGGGATTTTTTGTTTGTTTGTTTGTTTTCTGGTACCGGGAATCGAAATCACGACCTCGTGCTTGCCGGGCAAGCACTGTGCTGCTGAGCTAAATCCCCAGCCCCTAGGACCTTGCGCTTGCCAGGCAGGTGCTTATGCCACTGAGCTATATCCCTGGCCCTTGACTTCAATTTCTATTTTTAAGTTTATTTAAACTGGGTGTGGTCGCACATGCCTGTAATACCAGCACTCAGGAGGCTGAGGCAGGAGGATCATTGTGAGTTTGAGACCAGCCTGGACTACAAGGTGAGCTCAAGGCCATCCTGATCTGCATAGCGAGACCCTGTCTCAAAAAGACAAAAAAAAATTTTATTTGAATTTATTTTTTGAAATGAGGTCTTGCTATGTCATCTAGGTTGGCCTTGAACTCCTGGTAATCCTCCTGTCTCAACTTCCTGAGTCCTGAGATTTCAGGCATGCACACAACAGCTATTTTAATTTAATTTTTTTTTTTAGCTATTTTAATTTTAGTATGTGCTAAACATATGTTCTACCACTGAGATACATTTCCAGCCCTAAACTAACTTTTTGTGTGTGTGTCTTTCAGACAGGGTCTTGCTATACAGTTCAGGCTGGACTTGAGCTCACTTTGTAGCCCAGGCTGGTCTCGAACTTGCAGCGGTCCTCCTGCCTCAGCCTCCCCAGTGCTGGGATAACTGGTGTGCGCCACCACACCCGGCCTTAATTTTAATTTTTAAAAAATTTTTTGAGACAGTGTCTTGCTATATAGTTCAAGCTAGCCTTGAACTCATTATGTAGCCCAGGCTGGCTTCAAACTCATGGTGATCCTCCTGCCTCAGTTTCATCATTTCTGGGATTATAGTCATGTGCCACCATGCCTAGCAATTTTTATTTATTTATTTTTTTATCTTTTTGAGACGCAGTCTCACTATGCAGTTCAGGCTGGCCTCGAACTTGCAGCAATCCTCTTGCCTTAGCCTCCTGAGTGCTGGGATTATAGGCATGCGCCAGCATGCCTGGCTCAACAATTTTTATTTT